TTCACCCCTGGAGGTCTGTAAACGTCACGCCCAACCATGCCGACACCTGAATATGAGCACAGAGTAGGTTCTTAGTTCCCACAGGAGGACCAGCAACACTTCCCCCTGGTTAAGACTGGACAGGGGTTGAAAAGATGTTTCTAAAAGTTCAGAAGTTTCCCATGTTGGTTCCATTCAGGTGGTACTAGCCCCTAGCCTCTTCAAGTGGTACTAGCCCCTAGCCTCTTCAGGTGGTACTAGCCCCTAACCTCCTCAGGTGGTACTAGCCCCTAGCCTCTTCAGGTGGTACTAGCCCCTAGCCTCTTCAGGTGGTACTAGCCCCTAGCCTCTTCAGGTGGTACTAGCCCCTAACCTCTTCAGGTGGTACTAGCCCCTAGCCTCTTCAGGTGGTACTAGCCCCTAGCCTCTTCAGGTGGTACTAGCCCCTAGCCTCTTCAGGTGGTACTAGCACCTAGCCTCTTCAGGTGGTACTAGCCCCTAGCCTCTTCAGGTGGTACTAGCCCCTAGCCTCTTCAGGTGGTACTAGCCCCTAGCCTCTTCAGGTGTTACTAGCCCCTAACCTCTTCACGTGGTACTAGCCCCTAGCCTCTTCAGGTGGTACTAGCCCCTAGCCTCTTCAGGTGGTACTAGCCCCTAGCCTCTTCAGGTGTTACTAGCCCCTAGCCTCTTCAGGTGTTACTAGCCCCTAACCTCTTCAGGTGGTACTAGCCCCTAACCTCCTCAGGTGGTACTAGCCCCTAGCCTCTTCAGGTGGTACTAGCCCCTAGCCTCTTCAGGTGGTACTAGCCCCTAGCCTCTTCAGGTGGTACTAGCCCCTAACCTCTTCAGGTGGTACTAGCCCCTAGCCTCTTCAGGTGGTACTAGCCCCTAGCCTCTTCAGGTGGTACTAGCCCCTAGCCTCTTCTGGTGTTACTAGCCCCTAACCTCTTCAGGTGGTACTAGCCCCTAACCTCTTAGGGTGGTACTAGCCCCTAGCCTCTTCATGTGGTACTAGCCCCTAGCCTCTTCGGGTGGTACTAGCCCCTAGCCTCTTCGGGTGGTACTAGCCCCTAGCCTCTTCAGGTGGTACTAGCCCCTAGCCTCTTCAGGTGGTACTAGCCCCTAGCCTCATCGGGTGGTACTAGCCCCTAGCCTCTTCGGGTGGTACTAGCCCCTAGCCTCTTCGGGTGGTACTAGCCCCTAGCCTCCTCAGGTGGTACTAGCCCCTAGCCTCCTCAGGTGGTACTAGCCCCTAGCCTCTTCAGGTGGTACTAGCCCCTAGCCTCTTCAGGTGGTACTAGCCCCTAGCCTCTTCAGGTGGTACTAGCCCCTAGCCTCTTCAGGTGGTACTAGCCCCTAGTCTCTTCAGGTGGTACTAGCCCCTAGCCTCTTCAGGTGGTACTAGCCCCTAGCCTCTTCAGGTGGTACTAGCCCCTAGCCTCTTCAGGTGGTACTAGCCCCTAGTCTCTTCAGGTGGTACTAGCCCCTAGCCTCTTTTGGGACAAAGTGAAGTTAAAAATAAAGAGAGCAGTCCAAGAAGGAATTCCCATAACATAAGAGTCCAGGTATTAAAATGACAATTAAAATGGTGTTGATTTATGTTGTTGTATTATTCATCATGACCAGACAGGCCTACTATTAGTGATAGCCTACTATATGATTATCAGGTCAATATCAGGTCAATATCAGGTCAATATCAGGTCACAACGTGAGTGAGATAGGGAAGAAGTAATGATCGTGCTGAATACGCCAAGCACTGAAGGTGTGCATTATTCACTCCTGGGTTGTAAAGCAACACCCCAATACTCAGGTAGTGTTAGCTTTTTAACACCAGTGAACCTCACACTTATCCATGGGAACATCAACGTTCATTCACTTGGTCAGTAGCATACAATAAATGAAACGAGAAATATTAGGCCTACTTGAATGAACAACCAATGGTGCCAGTCTCAATGTTAGAAGTGCTGGAAGCTACACTATATATACAGAAGTATGTGGACACCCTTTCAAATGAGTGGATTCGGCTATTTCAGCCACACCCGTTGTTGACAGGTGTAAAAAAATAGACAAATATAGAATGGACTTACTGAAGAGCTCAGTGACTTTCACGTGGCACCGTCATAGGATGCCACCTTTCCAACAAGTCAGTTCGTCAAATTTCTGCCCTGCTAGAGCTGCCCCGGTCAACTGTAAGAGCTGTTAATGTGAAGCGGAAACATCTAGGAGCGACAACGGCTCAGCCGCGAAGTGGTAGGCCACACAAGCGCGTAAAAATAGTCTGTCCTCGCTTGCAACACTCACTACCGAGTTCCAAACTGCCTCTGGAAGTAACGCCAGCACAAGAACTGTTCGTCGGGAGCTTCATGAAGCCTACGATCACCATGCGCAATGCCAAGCGCTGGCTGGAGTGGTGTAAAGCTCGCCGCCATTGGACTCTGGAGCAGTGGAAACACGTTCTCTGGAGTGATGAATCACGCTTCACCATCTGGCAGTCCGACGGACGAATCTGGGTTTGGCGGATGCCAGGAGAACGCTACCTGCCCGAATGTATAGTGCCAACTGTAAAGTTTGGTGGAGGCGCAATAATGGTCTGGGACTGTTTTTCATGGTTCGGGCAAGGCCCCTTAGCTCCAGTGAAGGGAAATCTTAACGCTACAGCATACAATGACATTCTAGACGATTCCAACGTTGTGGCAACAGTTTGGGGAAGGCCCTTTCCTGTTTCAGCATGACAATGCCCCCATGCACAAAGCGAGGTCCATACAGAAATGGTTTGTCGAGATCGGTGTGGAAGAACTTGACTGGCCTGCACAGAGCCCTGACCTCAACTCCATCAAACACCTTTGGGATTAATTGAAACGCTGACTGTGAGCCCGGCCTAATCTCCCAACATCAGTGCCTGACCTCACTTTTTAAATTTGATTTAACCTTTATTTAACTGGGCAAGTCAGCTAAGAACAAATTCTTATTTACAATGACGGCCTACCAAAAGGCAAAAGGCCTCCTGCGGAGACGGGGGCTGGGATTAAAAATAAATAATAAAATAAAAATATAGGACTAAACACACATCATGACAACACTACATAAAGAGAGCCCTAAGACAACAACACAGCATGGCAGCAACACATGACAACACAGCATGGTAGCAACACAACATGACAACAACATGGTAGCAACACAACATGGCAGCAGCACAACATGGTAGCAGCACAACATGGTAGCAGCACAAAACATGGTACAAACATTATTGGGCACAGACAACAGCACAAAGGGAAGAAGGTAGAGACAACAATACATCAGGCGAAGCAGCCACAATTGTGAGTAAGAGTGTCTCACTAATGCTCTTGTGGCTGAATGGAAGCAAGTCCCCATAGCAATGTTCCAACAGCTAGTGGAAAGCCTTCCCAGAAGAGTTGAGGCTGTTATAGCAGCAAAGGGGGGACCAACTTCATATTAATGCCCATGATTTTGGAATGATATGTTCGATGAGCAGGGGTCCACATACTTTTGGTATGTAGTTTATGTTCATGAAAGGTCCTGTTATTCATGGTACACACTATTTTCATGCCACTTCGATTCAAAGTGATTTTCGTAGCAGGTTAGGAGAGAATTTTCGCTAACCCTAACCCTTTTCCTAACCTTCACCTCAGTCTCCTAAACTGCTAAGTCAGTTCTCCCAACCTGTTATGAAAATTTCACTTTGGTATCGAAGTGGCGTGAAAATAGTGTTTCCCTGTTATTCATAGCAGAGGCGTTTAATATTTGAACAATGGAAATTCGAAAAGATATCGCTATGATAATATGGCTTGCGCGATCACATTATTCCAATTTGCAACTCTAGGCGGGCAGTAGCTTTGTGTATTTCTGCTTATTTGGTAGTTTTTTTTTTTGTACTTGTGGAACCAACATATATTGAGATGTTTGCAAAACGTGGTCTCTTTCACACCTCGCCGGGTTAATTCGCATATAGACCTAGATCTACTGTAAGTTAATCAACAGTTTGGGAGCACAGAAGGTGCGGTGAGGAGGGGGATATGCATTTTAATCAAATGTCTATGATTACTTAACACCTCCCGTTTAAGATAATGGTCTCAAAAACAATGGTCTCAAAAACAAACCTAACGCGTGCCGCCGGCGTCCATAAGCTCCCCCCTCCCTTTATTGACCACCGGGCGCAGTTTGACCCTGTCCACATATCGGCACGTGCTATTTCACACTTGAAAAGCAAATGGTTCAAAAGGCGAAACACATTGCAGTTACAGAATTAAGGATGTCAGGGAGATTAAGTACATTCGTAGGCCTAAATTAATTTTAAATGTTGGCTTGTAGGCTTAGATCAGGGGTGTCAAACTCATTCCATGGAGGGCCTAGTGTCTGCAGGTTTTTGGTTTTTCCTTTCAATTAAGCCCTAGACAACCAGGTGTGGGGAGTTCCTTACTAATTAGTGACCTTAATTCATCAATCAAGGACAAGGGAGGAGTGAAAACCCGCAGCCACTCGGCCCTCCGTGGAATGAGTTTGACACATGTGGCTTAGATGATTCAATTGTATTCATCACGTGGATGTTTCGTTTTTAATAACATTTTAAAACAAATTATAGCTAATATAAAACAACAATATTGTATTCATCTTCCTATTGAGTAGGCTACGCTTTAAATTGTCTAAATAAACCTTAATCAAACATGTATTATGAATCAAATGTAGGCCTAGCCCCTATTCACATAACTAACTTGACTAATATTATTTAGAATTCTGAGACCTTTACAATATCCCACAACAAAAGTTACACCTATTCTCAAACATGGCCACTCTGGGTGCGAGCGTGACCATATGCTGCAGGTTTGCCAAAGAGTGATTTGACTGACACCTCACCACCGTGGTGCATTGACGGGTGGTGTCAATGTGCAATTTGGCACGAGCATCCTGGCCCGATATATAGAAGGCGTCTGACTCGACTCTGGCATCACTCTCAATCGCAAACTCTCAGAGGATTTGCTCCGGACACGCTATCATCAGAAACCATGGAGAATATCATCTCTCATCGTGGATTAATTGGCGCAATTACCAGAGGAAACTTTTTTCAACAGCCCGCTAATTTGTGGAGACCTTGGGATGCCAAAGCAGGCAGGGAATGCAGGGCCGCGACACACACGGTTAGTACAGACTACTTTAAAAACAACATTATTAGTGTCAATTGTTTGTAGAGGAATTAAATTAGACGTCTCATAGGTCTAGCTATAGTGTACGAAATAGTATGCTAACATGATTGTCTTTCTTTATCCCCTCGCAGCCTTACACAAAGCCCATTGGAGGATTTTCAGACACCAAACACTGCAAGAGTCCTCAAATCACACATCCAGTAAAGTAAGTGACATTGCCTCACTAATATCACCAACATGCATAGGCTACATTAAACATATGCGTCTCTGTTTGTGCGTAATGGTAAATGAGAAGGGAATTCTCTCAAATAAATAATATGCCATTTAGCAGACGCTTTTATCCAAAGCGATTTACAGTCATGCGTGCATACATTTTTGTGTATGGGTGGTCCCGGGGATCGAACCCACTACCTTGGCGTTACAAGCGCCGTGCTCTACCAGCTGAGCTACAGAGGACCACACGCTCTATATCCTTTCTCAACTATATTCTAGGCTACTTTGTATTTCCCATTCAAACTCCTAATGTGAGATTACCTTGTGCTCTAGGTTGTTCTGGCCCAAATCGAGATGCTTCGATTACCTGTACCAGGAAGCAGAGATGCTTCTGCGCAACTACCCAGTCCAAGCAACCATCTGCTTCTACGAAGACTCGAGCAGTGATGATGATGAGGAAGAAAGTGATGATGACGAGGAAGAAGAGAGCGTGAAGGAGCTGAATTAAAAAAGTTCTCGCTCTCCAATTTAAAAAACGCTGAATGTATATTTTAATATGGAATTTTAATATATCGTTGCATAATTTATTTTTGTAAATATCTGTAAATATGCCATATGAATAACGAATGACTAACACATTTGTCAGGGTAAACATCATTTAATAATTTATATTTCAGAATGGCCTACCTTTATTTAATATTGTATCCAATGGAGGAAGTTGTAATAAACCATTTATGAACTCAACAATGAGCTCCTTGAATCTGTGGATATGTTGGTTCTTTTTCAACAATCATTCAAAAAGCTTTATTTTGAGGACTATTTCTCTTCGTTGGATTTGATGTTGCTCTCTATTACGTCCACCACTACTCCAAATCAAATTATATTCTAGCCTCTTGTTCAAAAGAATAATCACATCCAAGGGCACAACTTTCATTAGGGATGGGAGGACATGTCCCCCCCCCCACATTCTGAAATAGCATTTTTGCCCCCAGTTTTATCTTTGGAATGTGATACAAAATGAGGCAACGGTGTGCTTTTGGACCATGCAGATGCCTCGGAGCGGTCGGGTAGGCTGTTTGGAGTGTTTATCCAACTGGATAGATAAAATAAATAAATAATAATAATAATTATGTCTCCCCCAAATTTGCACCCCTGATCAGATCTATAATTTTGCTGAATACAAATTCTATGAACACCATGCATTTATTACGACCTCTGGTCGAGTAAGCTCCCATAACAAAGATTCTCTCTCATATGAATTGATTCACTCAAGACAGACGAAAAGATGATCATTCAAAAATAAAGTCAAGAGTGGTTTCAATGATCACTCTGACAGTGATCATTTAGGTATAGGCTACAGTCGAGGAATGATCTGAGACCAAGGAATTGTGTTTGATGATCTAAAATGAAAATGAAAATGTATCATCCTTGTATGAGACGCGGAGGTTGCATATATCACGGACTGTTGGTCAAGAGAGGTGAGATGACCAGCACGTGCGACAGTGTCAGTGTGGCTTACCACTTCCTCTCGTAAAACAACAACGTGCGTAAACAAACAGACTCTCAGAGGACAGTCAGCATGCAAAGGCCCTTCGACATTAATGCCAAATGTGTGCGCACCAAATGTCTGAATGCACACTTTCCATAATTAAAGTAATAGGCCTAACATTTGTAACTAGCTCTCACAGTGTCAAGTCAGAATTAGACGTTCATCCATGTATCTCAAAAGTCAAATTCCGAAGTTGTTGCAAACAAAGTGTTTAAGGTTAAGTTTAGGCATTAACTCCGAATTTTTAAGGTTAGGGTTGAGTTTAGGCATTAACTCTGAATGGTTAAGGTAAGAGTTGAGTTTAGGCATTAACTCCGAAGAGTTAAGGTTTGGTATAGGCTTAAAACTAAAATCTCAAAAACAACTTTCTATCTCTGGATTCGGACTTGCAACCTTTGGAATCAGAAACAGACACTTACACACATCCACCATCCATATTTTGATGTATCTTTTATTGTATGTGCAGTACTGTCATGGCCATCGTTTTATAGTAAATATGAAACATTTAACATTACAGTATATGGGGACAGTAGATTTAAAAAACATAGCAGCCATCCCGATGTCCACTACAGAGGACATATATTAACAAGCTCTTATTCAGCTCTTATTTAATGTGAAAAAAACAATTACACTGCTCTGAAAACTCCCCAAACTATTCCTGAGATATTTACCTATTAGAAACAATTAGAAGATCAAATTCACAAAAATGAAAAATGAAAAAAGCACAATTACACACACTTACCATTAAATGTGCTAATTGTGATGGTAATTGTGATGGTAGCCATTTTGAAGAACCAGAAAGAAAAAAATATCCAGGTCCTACCCCCACACATGTGATATCATTGAAAAGCCCAGAATGTTCTCTCAAAGGTATAACAGGACCTAACACAGTGCCATGTACAGTGCCTTGCAAAAGTATTCATCCCCCTTGGCGTTTTTCCTATTTTGTTGAATTACAATCTGTAATTTAAATAGATTTTTATTTGGATTTCATGTAATGGACATACACAAAATAGTCCAAATTGGTGAAGTGAAATGAAAAAAATAACTTGTTTCAAATAATTATAAAAAATAAATAACGGAAAAGTGGTGCATGCATTTGTATTCACCCCCTTTGCTATGAAGCCCCTAAATAAGATCTGGTGCAACCAATTACCTTCAGAAGTCACATAATTAGTGAAATAAAGTCCACCCGTGTGCAATCTAAGTGTCACATGATCTGTCACATGATCTCAGTATATATACACCTGTTCTGAAAGGCCCCAGAGTCTGCAACACCACTAAGCAAGGGGCACCACCAAGCAAGCGGCACCATGAAGACCAAGGAGCTCTCCAAACAGGTCAGGGACAAAGTTGGGGAGAAGTACAGATCAGGGTTGGGTTATACAAAAATATCCGAAACTTTGAACATCCCACGGAGCACCATTAAATCCATTATTAAAAAATTGAAAGAATATGGCACCACAACAAATCTGCCAAGACTCACAGCCCAGGCAAGGAGGGCATTAATCAGAGAGGCAACAAAGAGACCAAAGAGACCACAGATAACCCTGAAGGAGCTGCAAAGCAACACAACAGAGATTGGAGTATCTGTCCATAGGACCACTTTAAGCCATACACTCCACAGAGCTGGGCTTTACGGAAGAGTGGCCAGAAAAAAGCCATTGCTTAAAGAAAGAAATAAGCAAACACGTTTGGTGGTCGCCAAAAAGCATGTGGGAGACTCCCCAAACATATGGAAGAAGGTACTCTGGTCAGATGAGACTAAAATTGAGCTTTTTGGCCATCAAGGAAAACGCTATGTCTGGCGCAAACCCAACACCTCTCATCACCCCGAGAACACAATCCCCACAGTGAAGCATGGTGGTGGCAGCAGCATGATGTGGGGATGTTTTTCATCGGCAGGGACTGGGAAACTGGTCAGAATTGAAGGAATGATGGATGGCGCTAAATACAGGGAAATTCTTGAGGGAAACCTGTTTCAGTCTTCCAGAGATTTGAGACTGGGACGGAGGTTCACCTTCCAGCAGGACAATGACCCTAAGCATACTGCTAAAGAAACACTCGAGTGGTTTAAGGGGAAACATTTAAATATCTTGGAATGGCCTAGTCAAAGCCCAGACCTCAATCCAATTGAGAATCTGTGGTATGACTTAAAGATTGCTGTACACCAGCGGAACCCATCCAGCAGTTTTGCCTTGAAGAATGGGCAAAGATTCCAGTGGCTTGATGTGCCAAGCTTATAGAGACATACCCCAAGAGACTTGCAGCTGTAATTGCTGCAAAAGGTGGCTCTAAAAAGTATTGACTTTGGGGGGGGGGGGGGGGGGGGGTGAATAGTTAGACAACTTGAGCGTGCATGTTTTTTTTGGCTTATTTCTTGTTTGTTTCACAATAAATAATATTTTGCATCTTCAAAGTGGTTTGCATGTTGTGTAAATGAAATGATACAAACCCCCCAAAAATCCATTTGAATTCCAGGTTGTAAGGCAACAAAATAGGAAAAATGTCAAGGGGGTGAATACTTTCGCAAGCCACTGTATGGCCTTAGAGATACAGACCAAAAACGGATGTCTATATAATAACAGGACATTTCACAGATATATCGTTTCTGAGAGTGACCGTGCTTCTAGCCTATGCCTCGTCTTATGTTACTGACAATGTGAACATTAATGAACTAAGCTGTTGAGCTTTTCAACCACTAACACAGTTTTCCCATGGTTAGGTGTAAGGTTCACTGGTGTTAAAAAAAAGCTAAACTATCAAGGGGCGGGAGTTGCTTATACAGGCGTGAAGACCTTCAGTGGTGGGTGATTCAGCAATGCATGCGCTAGAGCATGACTTCACATGCCCATTCAACTTCTGACCTGATGATGAATATATTAATGTGGGCATAACACATAACACATTCTTGAGAAAGATTAATACATACAGTATATTTGATAATCCCCCCCCCCCCCCCTCTCTTTTGCTCTCTCTCTCTCTCTCTCTCTCTGTCTCTGTCTCTGTCTCTGTCTCTGTCTCTGTCTCTGTCTCGCTCTCTCTCTCTCTCTCTCTCTCTCTCTCTCTCTCTCTCTCTCTCTCTCTCTCTCTCTCTCTCTCTCTCTCTCTCTCTCTCTCTCTCTCTCTCTCTCTCTCTCTCTCTCTCAATTCAATTACATTTAAGGGCGTCATTGGCATTGGAAACATACAGTTGTAGTCGGAAGTTTAAATACACCTTAGCCAAATACATTTAAACTCAGTTTTTCACTATTCCTGACATTTAATCCTAGTAAAGATTCACTGTCTTAGGTCAGTTAGGATCACCACCTTATTTTAAGAATGTGAAATGTCAGAATAATAGTAGAGAGAATGATTTCTTTCAGCTTTTATTTCTTTCATCACATTCCTAGTGGGTCAGAAGTTTACATACAATCAATTAGTATTTGGTAGCATTGCCTTTAAATTGTTTAACTTGGATCAAACGTGTCGGGTAGCCTTCCTCAAGCTTCCCACAATAAGTTGGGTGAATTTTGGCCCATTCCTTCTGACAGAGCTGGTGTAACTGAGTCAGGTTTGTAGGCCTCCTTGCTCGCACACACTTTTTCAGTTCTGCCCACAAATGTTCTATAGGATTGAGGTCAGGGCTTTGTGATGGCCACTCCAATACCTTGACTTTGTTGTTCTTAAGCCATTTTGCCACAACTTTGGAAGTATGCTTGGGGTCCTTGTCCATTTGGAAGACCCATTTCCGACCAAGCTTTAACTTCCTGACTGATGTCTTGAGATGTTGCTTCAATATATCCACATAATTTTCCTTCCTCATGATGCCATCTATTTTGTGAAGTGCACCAGTCCTTCCTGCAGCAAAGCACCCCCACAGCATGATGCTGCCACCCCCGTTCTTCACGGTTGGGATGGTGGTCTTCGGCTTGCAAGCCTTCCCCTTTTTCCTCCAAACATAACGATGGTCATTATAG